AGATTATGTTCAAATTTTATATATTCATTATACACCATAGATATACAGATGTATTTAAAATGCCCAACTTGTGGTCATGTTGTTTTAATTATTGCTGTTCAAGAGCAATACCTCTCAATATGGACAAGTACTCGTTCGACGATCAGATACAAGAATGTCAAACATATTAATCTTAAAAAATCATCATAATCAAGCATGCAACTCCTGGAATCATATCTCTGAAGTGTTTATGTTCCAACTATATTACTATAAAAAACTATATATTTTAAATTTAATAACTAACGGGGACTGTGTCATGCATGTCTTGTTCACATTATATGTTTCTCTCGTAAATTGTTTTTCGTGTAAATGTGCTTGGACAGGAACTTATTAGTATTCATACACGTTATTAAAAGCAAGTCATTTTTAGATACAGGTAAGTTACCTGATAGATACAATCAATAGTGTTCATAGCAACCGTAGCTATAGAAACCATCAACAACATTTTTGATCAACACTACACCGAGTAACCATATAAACCATTTCAAAATAATATATATCATATATGTAATATGATACAACGAATAAAGATAAATATTTGAAATGGTAACTCTTCTGAAGCTCAGATTTGATTGAACATGAACCATCGTGACATCGCGCCGGTAAAATAATAATGCAGATGTCACTGATTTCATTAGAATGTGAAAACTCATATAGCCAGTGCCATGAAGTCAGCACAATACTGTACTCTTATATAGATTTAGTGTACTTTGTCTTTGAGTGTTTTATATGCTCGTATGTCGTGCATTTAAGAAAATAATGTTAAATGAACGTCGCTTATAGTGCATGACGATTTTGAAACACTGATCAAGTTGCATAATTACCATTACTGTCCCGTTTCATTAAGCTGGAAACACTAATATATGGATTAAAGTTGAATTCACACTCCACAGAGGGATTGTACCAACAACTGGCCAGAACATTGTAATGGTAGTACATTTGGCCCCGATTAATGAATCAAATAACTGAATGCCAGCCACTTCCATGTATTGACGAAATATGAAATATTCTTATTATATTTTAACCATTTTACTTTTTTTGCTTTTGCATTTTATTCACATTTTTATACCTAACCTATATGTGTTTACTCTATACAAAATGGCTGACTGTCTTTAAAACATGTTTGCCCTCAACTCAACGAATGACGCTACATATTTACATAATATGTTATAATTAAGACAGATTGAAGTGGACGTTATTTCATATTACATATTTGATAGAGGTTGAATATTTTACAAATATTGGGGCTATTTTGATATAGTATGAGAATATGTTTAATTCAGTGTATTTGACCCACTCAAATGTATAGCTGCTATCCCGTCCTTAGTTAAATCAATAACATGTATTTTCAAATGAACTTAGGCGATGTCATTTGGTTTCAATTAAGTGGAATGTGCACATATCTTTGTGCTAATCGTAGAAAATACGAAGTGAACAGTTTCAATTGGAAAGGAAAACAACACAGTTGATC